AATCTTGGAACAGGAGTGACCAAGGGAGGTGGTGGCATTCCTTTCCCACCATCATGCCAGCCTGACTGGTCTATTCACCACCCGCAAAACATGCTGTGCACATTTCCAGCTCTGCCCTTTGCACTATTTGTTCTTCTCTGTCTGAAAGCAGCAGAACTGCCATTTGGAAAGACCACAGCCTGGAGTTGAATCCCAGCTCTGCTTCTTACTTGTGGGACTTCTGCCTCTCTACGCCTCATTTTCGTGATATAAAAATGAGGATAATATTGTAACCAATTTCATGAAGTTGTTGTGAGGATCAAATGAGACAGCACATAAGTGCCTATTCGGTAGGAAGTAAAGATGAGCTCCCTTCCATCTTCTCCCTTCTCTCCCCCTCCCCGACCAGGCAAGCCCCACTTCAAGCCCCCTCTCTCTGTGAAGCCTTCCCTGACCACACAGGCCAGAGCAATCCTCTTCCTCTAAAACCTATAGCTTCCAGCACTTGTGGCTCTCATATGGAACTGAGCCTTAAGGAGCTCGCTGTCTTTTCATGGGCAAGTATCCCAGATCCTTAACATAGCTTATGAGTTAGGTGACAATATACTTTGTTGTTCAAACAGGGACATTTTTTTTTTAATAATTTTATTTATTTATTTTTTTCCCCCAAAGCCCCAGTAGATAGTTGTATGTCATTGCTGCACATCCCTCTAGTTGCTGCATGTGGGACGCGGCCTCAGCATGGCCGGAGAAGCGGTGCGTCCGTGCGCGCCCGGGATCCGAACCCGGGCCGCCAGCAGCGGAGCGCCGCACTTAACCGCTAAGCCACGGGGCTGGCCCAAACCGGGACATTTTTGAGAATGAAAAGAGGCGTGATGAATTATTATGCCGGAATAAACAAAGATTGCCCTGGGCAAACTGGGTGTATGGCTGCCCAACTTGTAAGGCACCATTCTCCTCTTCATTTAGGAAAAACATGTGTAACTCTTAACCTCCCCCACCCCATCCCCCACCAGCTGAAAACACAAGCCAAATAGCCTGTTTTCTGACCATGAGAGGAAGGGTACAGGGCAAATATAACTGTAGTTAGAGCATGAGGAAACCTGAGCTGCCAATGGAAGAAATACAATCTGAGAGCCACAAGTAATTATTAACTTTTTTTCCTTAAAAAGAAAAAACAAAAAAACACTAGTTGAAATGACTATATCCTGATGTTCTTTGCGGGCTCAATGAGGGGAGAGAGGATGGGCTCTGGGCTGGCAAAGTAAACCACTGCCCTTCTGAAACTGAATACGGTCTGATGCCTACTCTACAAAATAGTTAATGAGGGAGAAATAAAAGGAGATGAGGAACCAGAGATAGAGAAAGCTTTGCAGCAGAGAAAATGGGACTGACTGACACTGATGCAAATTCCTAACGATAGCCAGCCACTCCTAATTCCACCTTATGCCTGAGAAGTGCAGACGACACAGATTATCTGAAGGCTTCTGGATGAACCACTAAACTTGCATGCAGCCCCACCCTGCAGCAAAGATTTTTCCATACTAGAAGTGAAAGATGAGTCACCATGAATAGGACATTTAGTTAAACAGGATTTCTTTTAAATGGAACATTCTACTATCATTGTGGCAGAGGCTGTAGAAAATTTCTCTGGTATCAAATGCTAAAAATATGGTATCAACAGGAGAGTTGGCTGGGTTATCAGCTGTCTCCATCTTGTGAAAAAGGCAAGCATTCACAATTCCCTAAAACTTATACTATAGTTTAACAGAAACATTCAAACTTAATAGTGTCTCTGTCTAAATCATGTCTTTCTTTATCTAAGAAACAACAGTGTGGCCTCCGGTGAACTCGATGGGGAGAAGAAAAAGGATCTTTTTCTTTTTCATTTCACATCCTTTCTGTATTTAAAATTTTTCACTATGTACATTTACTACTTCTATAATTAAAAGCAACCTAAAAAGTTGGCCTGTATGTCCTGCCACCAGTTCACCCACTAACATTCCTAGAGTCCAATTTTCTCATTTCTTCTGGCCCTTGCTAGGCTGTGTGATGATGAGAGCTCTAAGATACAACCTCACCGTCACAAGTTCACAAGTTTGGAAAAAAGAAGATCTAGATCTTGCTCCTTGGGGGAAGAATGCAGGTAGAGAAAGGTCAGGATACCAGCAATACTGGAAAAATCCAGTATTTTTCAGCTTCATACTGCTGGAAAAGATATACTGTTAACCCCGGGGGGACTCTGGAGGGTAGATGCTGCAAGATAGAAGCATGCAATGAAATGCTATTTGGTGAGGTTTCAGGTCTAAGGGTTCTTTACCAAATGGTGGAAAAGAGAGTTATCTGGGTTACTGGGGAAAAAAAAAATCCAACTGCTTAGCACTTTGAATGGTGCCACAAAGACTCTACATTAGTCCTCCAATGAGCTCCCTGTGGTGAAATCAGAGGTAACCAAAATGAATTGGTTCCAAATTGCTTTATGCATTAACGCATTAAAACAACTTTCCACAAATTTGTATTTCACAAAGAAACATTTGGTGTAATTGTTGTTAAAATCGAACTTCACCCCCATTCTTCAGGTAAGGACATTCATTTACATCAGCAGCTGAGTCTGCAGGAGGAGTTAGGTGACTTTTAGGATTTGTAAAGACCCGAATCGATTGCCCAGGGGAATTTGTAGAGTTTAAGATACTTAAAAAGTTAAGGCACAATCAACCATCTGTCTAGGTTTCTATAGGAGCAGTGAAACTTGAGGCAGGGGGGCCAGGTGACCTGGTCAGCCTTTTGCTAACTGGGGATAGCAGCCTAATGCTGCATGACCAGTCAGCGTGGCTGGGCGATTCCAGCTGGCTCAGAGAGCACCCAAAATAAGCCACAAAGCATTCAGGAGTCATGCTTATAGTTTTGATTCCAAACACACCATGCTTATCCCTTCCAGGTGGAGGATTTTCACGTTTCAGGCCAAGGAAGAGAGCTGGAGGCAAAGGAACCCAGGTTGTGGGTCAACAGATATGCCTGATGTATTGTGCATGTTTAGTTTAAAAACAGATTTAAAGTAAAACCATGACCACCTCTAAGGAGAATGAGTTAGGCCAGCCAGACAGAAACAGCCGTTCAGAAGCAATAAAGGCGTGGGCACAGGTTCCCTCGCACCCCTGGGGTTCACGTGGAGGCCTTGTGAGTGGAGAACTCAAAGAGGGGCGGGGAGAAAGGAATAAATACACCTCCCGGGGCAGGACTGGCGGCGGCACAGTCGCCTTTTGACGGAACTAACTAACTCAGGCGACAGCGAGCAGAGGCTCAGATGCAGGACTCAGACCCACGATTCCTCCTGCCCGCTCTCGGGCAGACCGCAAAGGCAGGGGGCCAAAACCCGGGAGACTGAGCAGCATTCCCACTCTCAAGAGCCAGGTTTTCCTTCCTCACTACTCAGGCCTGATCAGATCCCAAGCCCCCTCCCCACAATTCCGTGTTCCCTCCACACAGACCCTCGGGGCTCCCCAGATCCCGCATCTTCGTCCTTCCTGGACCCCATGCTCCAATCCTTACGATCACAGACAGGCATCCGTTACCTGCAGAGCAGCTCGACAACCCTGCAGGTAGGCCTCCATGGTGAAGCCCAAGGTGTGCCGCCGCCCCTCGCCGTGGAGAGGTTACTCGGCGAATGCGCCCCGCCCCGTTCTCCGGGGCTTGAGGCGAGAGTCAGAAGGCGGGACTCGAACCTGCCACACAGCGATTCGGCCCTGACCCCCGGAGGAAGTGCGTAATCGGGCGCTCCCGGAGTCCGACGTCGCCCCGCCCCCAGCAGCGGAGGCAGAGTGCTGCGCCCGGAGACTCACGGGAGGCCTTTCCCGAGGCGCGAAGAGGGGCGTGGCGGAGGGCGTTCTGGGAAACGTAGTCCAGAAGCTCCGAAATGTCACCAAGAATTGAGGGAAGGAGAATTTTCTGAGATCATTCATTTGACACACAAATGTATATGTGTCACAGTAACCTATCTTTGTGACATCAGAACTTTTCCTCTCGGGTGAAGCTAAGTATAGCATCTTTCCATATATTACACGGAGCATCTAGTTGACATCTTAAATTACACGTGGTAAAAACAGCTCTTCGTCTTCCTTTCTCGAATTCTCCTCTCTACCAAACTGACTCATTGCCACCAATTTTGTGATTGTCCATATTATTAAAACATTAGAATAATCTCTTACCCCTTTTTTTTTACTTAATACCTGCAGTCTCTTGCCAACTCCTGCTGCTTTTTCTTTTGTAACTATGTAGCCTGTTTTTTCTGTAGCCTCAGCAAATGTCTCCTCATTGTTTGCCTGGACTGTTGTAACCTGGGTTCTTTGCTCCCTGCCTCGGTAACTGTTCCAACTGCCCTTTCAGCCTTCAGAGTTGCTTCAAGTTTCGTCCTGCGGCAGGCAGCCTTGTAAGTAGAGTTTGGAGGGCCCTTCGGAATGTAGAGTTGGGTTCTAACCTCCTTTAACTGCCACCCTCCAGCCCCACAGTATGCAGAGGACTGCAAATACATGTACTCTCATCGTCAAATGTTCCCTGATTTATTACTCCATCCCTTTATTTCCTACCACCAGCCTGACACCAGCTTTTCCTGCTCCCCAAGCTAGGAATTGAGAGGAGGTGACTGATGAGAAGCTGAGGCCTCTGGTGGAAACAAGGACCAGAGCACAGGGGTATTGGATCTCCTGCTTGCTCAGCTAGTTCTCTCCCTGCTGTACTCTCTTCCTAGGGCCTGGGGCTTCTTCCACACCTTCTGCTCTACCAGGAGCACAGCCCAACTAGTTTCATTTCTAGACTAAGAAAATGATACAGTGAGGACTTGGAAAGGAGCAGCATTTTTTTTTTTTTTCATTAAATGGGTAAATATGCAAATATCACTCTCTTTGGCCCTGCTTCTCTGGATCCAGAGCAAAGGACTGCCATACCTAGGGAGAAAGCCCAGGTCCAGCAAGCTGCTGCTGTCCAGCCCTGCTCCTCCCCGATGAGCAAGGGCACTTGCTCTTCCCTATTCTCACCAGAGAGGCACAAGCGCTCTGTCCCTTCCAGCGGCAGGCAGGCGGAGGGAAGAGAAAGGGTCTGTTGTTTTTCTCTCCTTGTTTCTCTCTCCCTCACTGCTGATCACCAAGCTGCTGACCAGGTCAGAAAGCCCCGATGGAAATCCTCCAGTGCTAGGCAGGCCCCTCCTCCTCCAGGGAGCTTGTCCTTGACTAATTTTTCTTTGTCCCGATGGGAAAAAAAGAGAGAGAGAAAGAAGAAAAAAGAAAAACCACAAACTTCCTTTGAAAACAAGCTTTCAGTCAGGGCCTGGAGCGCAAACCCTACACTCAGCGACTTAGGAATCCGAAGACGCCCTGAGCCGCTCGGGTGCACCTGGACTGCGCCCCTGCCTCCCCGGTAGTGTCCCCGGTTGGGCGTGGGTGTGAGTCCGGAAGTGGCCACGACCCAGTCAGGACTGCTGCTTGTAAACCCATATAAACCTGTGAAAGCTCTGGCGTTGACAGCTGGAAGACAGCTGGGACTGTGGCGACGCCCCTCATTGTACCCACCTCCCCCATCGAATTGCCAGAGCTGAACTCTCCTTCTCAGTCCTGGAACAGCACCCACTTCTTTAAGGTAAAAACTTGTTTCAACCATTTCCTCACCTCCTCTCCTACTCCAGTTCTCTTTTTCTTCTCCATCTCTGGGGAGGTGACACTGACCGTCCTTCTGCCTTTGGTCTCTATGAGTCTGGTTTGTGAGATGAGCTAAGGCAGAAGGAATATGTAAGAGGAATACTTTGTGGTCCCTTCATTTTTTCCTTTTAATGAAACCTTTCCCCTCTCACGAGCAAGTAGACAGGCACTGTGGTGGTGCCTGTGTGGTGGATTCCAAGGGGAAAATCTAAAGGATTAGCTGCATGACGATTTGGGTCAGACTGAGGAGATTGGAGTGGAGCAGTAAGGGACTTGAGGGGAGAGGAAAGTTCTTGGGGAGGTGTCTTATTGAAGCTACATACCCATTTTATATCCTTCTTCCAACTTTCGGCTGTTTACTGCCACTGCCTAGGGAGGGGCCAGGGCTATTTTAACTCCCTCGCCACCAGAGGATAATTCCAGCTGGAGAGAACATGTGGGACTTGGGAAGAGAAGAGGAAAAGAATGAAATCCTGGTTTGTTTAGTACCCTCTCCCTCATCCTTTCCTGCTCTGAATTACTCCATGCCCACCCCACCAGGAGTGCACTTTGTAGAGTGGAAATCCTCCGTTACATTTCCTGCCCCTCCTCTTAAGACTTAGCCCACTTAGCTGTGCCCAGTTTCTCTGAGACTCAGCTCCCTCCAGTGTCCAGCTCCTGGTTTCTTTTGGCTCATCCCTCTAGTCAGCTAGCTGCCCAACCCCCACTTAATTATTGATCATTTCTGGCACTGGACAGAAAAGGTAAGAAATGAGCTCTGCTTTTCTTTGTAAACTTTCCCAGGCTCTGGTTTCTGCTTCTGACGCTCATCCTAAGTGTCATTTGGGAGGGGAGGAAAAAGAGAGAGAGAGAGAAAAAAAAAAGTGTAAGGCCTGCAGGCAATTTTTGCTACTCTGATTCTAAATTAACAACATGTAAATGAGATGCAGCTAGAATGAATTATATTTGAATCAGGAGGATGATCAAATGATCAGTTTGGGTGACTAGGCTTATTTCAGTAACTTTCATGTACCTCAACTTCATCTCCCAGGCCTTTCCTGAGCCCTAAATTTCTGTCAGTTTATGAGAAGGAAGCATAGTCTCAGGTTAGGAGGAAACTAGAGAAGAGATTCCTAACAAGTTTAATTTCTCCCTTTCCTCACCCTGAGTAAGGGGGCGAGGGGAGCAAGGACGTTGACGGGAGATGTTTTCCAGAGGGCAGGGTTTGTGGCTTTTTATCGTTTACTATCCACAGCATTTATTAAATGTCTACCTCTGCTGGACTTGATGGTTAGTGCTGATAGAGAACAGGTTGAACAGGTCCAGTGTTCACATCTAAACCGACATAGATGGGAATAGACAGAAAAAACGTGAACGTAGAGGGAATATTTTTAACGTAAATCAATAATCAGCATTTTTTGTGTGTGTGAGGAAGATCAGCCCTGAGCTAACATCCATGCTAATCCTCCTCTCTTTTTGCTGAGGAAAACTGGCTCTGAGCTAACATCTATTGCCAATCCTCCTTTTTTTTCCTCAAAGCCCCAGTAGATAGTTGTATGTCATAGTTGCACGTCTTTCTGGTTGCTGTATGTGGGACACGGCCTCGGCATGGCCAGAGAAGTGGTGCGTGGGTGCGCGTCCGGACCCGAACCCGGGCTGCCAGTAGTGGAGCACGCGCACTCAACCGCTAAGCCACGGGGCCGGCCCAATAATCAGCATTTTTATATTCCATATAAATAGTGGGCAAGAGAGTATCTCTGGATTTAGGCGGTTTTTAGAGCAAAGAGGAACTGAGGAGAAGTTGCTATCTCAACTTCAGCTATCAGGAGAAGCTTACTGGAAGAATTTGTGGGGGGAGTGATTTTTCTGCCCCTAATCTGAGGTTACTTATCAGAACCAGTTTCTGATTCAAGTCCCCATGGCCTACATTTCCCTTCTCCAGCCTACAGGAAACCCCTCCCAAGACCTATTTGCTGTGGTTTGGGATTGTGTAAAGTCATTTGAAGAGAAAGACTTCTTTCTCACCAGTGTTTCGTCTTTAGGGGCAGGATACTGACTCCGCCTTTCCACTCTTCACCCCAAGCACTATGTGGCGGTTAATCTTTTCTGCCTTGGGATGAGGCAGAGAGATGGTAGCCCTACAGATACAAGCAGCCTGCGTGTGCTCAGGATGTTCCCTGAACAGCCAAGGGGAGGGGTTTGGTGCAGGGCAGAGGAATCACCCCCGTCCTGGCCATGGTGTGTGGGGGTTACTGACATGATACCTATTACCAAGTGAGCTAAAGATCACCATATTAATAACCATTAGTGTAGTTTTAATGTTTCCATCTCCATCTCTTTCCCTTCTGTCTTTCTCCTTTTACTCTTCCTTTCTCTCTGTCTTTTCTCCATTCCTTGTCTTTATCTGTTTCAGGGAAGCTGACTCCACCCAATGTCTTCAATCTCACTGGAATCATCCCTCCCAAGCCTGAAAGCCCTGTATCCTCGTTGGTCGCATCTGGTCGCAGCAAGTTAGAGGTGAAAGAGCTCAGGCTGGGGCCCTTCTGTTTACCTAAGCTCTACTACCCAGGAGTGACTGTACATGAGACACTATCTAGCCTTCCACACTATGTTCCTTTTCTAAGACTTTTCTGTGTCAATTTTGCTTTCCAGCCCAATGATCTCCTTCTTATTGGATTAGTCTCTCTTTGGCATACCAAGCCTAGATTAGGCAAGTCCTGGAGGACAAAGTCCTTTGATGCGCATCAGTTGACCCCTTTTGACCATGGAACACCATCAACCCGAGCATCCAGCCTCTAATAAGGCCAAGACTGCAGAAGCAGTCATCCCTGAAAACCACGAGGTCCTGTCAGAACCCGATGAGCACCCTCAGGACAAGGATACCAGAGATGCTGATGGGGTGGCCAGAGAGCAGGAGCCAGAAGACCAAGCCTCACTGCTGGCCCAGGGCCAGGATAACCTTGAGTCCCCTCCACCTGATGCTGGCTCAAGCCAACTGGAGCCAGCCCAGGGGACGCAGACTGAGATAGAGACAGTGGGGGCATGCTCCAGACCCCAGGAGCTTCCCCAGTCCCCCAGGGTCCGACAGCCTGAGCTAGATTTCTACTGTGTAAAGTGGATCCCGTGGAAGGGAGAACGGACACCCATCATCACCCAGAGCACTAACGGCCCCTGCCCTCTCCTTGCCATCATGAACATCCTCTTTCTTCAGTGGAAGGTAAGAGAGAGTTCGGATGGGGGCTCAGAAAATGTTGGGGAGAGTTCTCTTCCTTGACGTACCTCCTTGATCATACTGATTTTTTCAAACCAGTCAAAACTTTCCAGATGATTCTCCCTATTTCTCCATCTTGAACAAATGAGATAAGATGTTCATAAAAACAAAACAAAACAATTATCTGTCCTACTTCTGTCTCTTCTACTCTCTAGCAAATGGGAATGCCTTGCAGTATTTCACATTCATTCTCTTGCTCCAGTTGTAAGCCTTTTTCTTCCACCACACTCCACCGCTGGACAACCCTTGTCCCCCCCACCCCCACCCCCTTCTGTGGGCTCCTCCTTCAGTGCTCTGTGAAGGAAAGCACACACCTGGCTTACCCTTTGATCACTCCTTGCCTCCAGGTAAAGCTGCCACCTCAGAAGGAAGTGATCACGTCAGACGAGCTCATGGCTCATCTTGGTGAGTGACTGGGCCTTGAAGAGGAATTACCTCAAAGGTTCAAGAGCTATCCACTCAGGCCAGAAGTTCAGAATATTGAGGGACTCCCCGTTTGGGGGCTCTGATGTGGCAGGGAGGGTGAAGGTCTATGGGGCTTCTCTGCGAGGCTGGAGAATGAAAAGGAAAAGTCAAGATGTCAGGAGTCCTGGGTTGTAACGCCAGTTGTGCCCTTAGCTTTCACCTGTGACCTTGGGTAGCCCTTCACCTTTATGAGCCTATTTCTTCTTCTGAAAAATGAAAGGTCTGGATTAGATTCTAAGGCCCTTTCCAGCTCTGAAAATCTGTGGTGCTGTGACATTACCTCCATTCTCCAAGAGAAGGGGAAGCAGCTTTTGGAACAGTTAGTGGGGTAAGCTGATAAGGAATCCTGTCTTGTAGGAGACTGCCTCCTGTCCATCAAGCCCCAGGAAAAGTCAGAGGGACTTCAGCTTAATTTTCAGCAGGTGAGGTCTGTGGACATAGGGGTTTGCAGGTTGGTAAGGGGACACCGGGGCTGTTAAGAGAAGCCTTCTGCTGCTTCTCAAGAGAATTCCTTGAACCATGACTTTTTTCTGCAGGAGGAGGAGTGTATATCTCTGTCTAGAAAATATGTTCATTTATATAAGATAAAGAAGGGTTGAGGCGCGAGGGAGGAATGGAATGGCTTGTAAGAGAACCTGAGAACAAAAACAATGAGATTAATTTTTTATTTCAGGAGGTGGGAGTGGATAGGGGGAGGAGAGACTAGAATATCCATAATTTTCTTTTTTCTTCCCCAGCTTTATTGAGCTTTATTGAGATGTAATTGACATATAACATTGTGTAAGTTTAAGATGTACAACGTGTTGATTTGATATACCCATCATTTTCTTTTCTACCCCCAGAATGTGGACGATGCAATGACAGTGCTGCCTAAACTGGCCACAGGTCTGGATGTCAACGTGCGATTCACAGGCGTCTCTGATTTTGAGTATACACCCGAGTGCAGTATCTTTGACCTACTAGGCATACCTTTGTACCACGGCTGGCTTGTTGATCCACAGGTGAGGGTGGGAGGGCCCAAATGAGACTCTTACCCAGATCAAGCTGACATGAGAGAAGCAAAATTTTGTGTGGGGGCGTGGGGGCGGGAGGGAAGGTTTAGGGAGATAGGGATTAGATTGGTTTGGGAGGGGATTAGAGTTTAGAGGGTGGCCTCAGAGCAGAATTCCTGGAATTTTAACTTTTAAAAAAAGTAACATTCAAATACAAGCACACCATATGAAAATAGGTCAGTTCTTTAGACATCAAAAGTTTCAGGAACCTTTGGTCATAGGGTTGCAGTCCTCATGGGCTTGGTTCATTTCCTTCCTAAAAAGGTCTCAATCTTTTTGGTACCACCCCCCGCCCCCTTGCGCATGCAGAGTCCTGAGGCTGTGAGTGCAGTTGGGAAACTGAGTTACAACCAGCTGGTAGAGAAGATCATCACCTGCAAGCACTCCAACGACACCAACCTCGTGACCGAAGGTGATGTCCCTCCCTTCTCTTTTGTGCAGCTTCTTTTCTTTTTTGCTGGGCGAGACTCGCCCTGAGCTAACATCTGTTGCTAATCTTCCTCTTTTTTTTTTCCTCCCCAAAGCCCCAGTACATAGTTGTATATTCTAGTTGTACGTCCTTCTAGTTCTTCTATGTCTGTGGAGCTTCTGTGGAGGGAATCATGGCTACTTAGGTTGATTGTTTACTGTCTGTCTCCCCACCACCACATCCCACTAGAATGTGGGCGCATGAGAGGGAGTTTGGCGAGTTGTTTGTTTAGTTCGCAGACGTACCCCCAGGACTTGTGTGGTGCCTGGCACAAGGTAGCTGCTTAGTTAGTACTTGTTGAATGAATGAATACAGCCAGGCTTCAGGAAGGGATTTCAGAAGGTGGGACCGACCCCTCCGGCTTTGACAGGGGCTCTCTGTTTTGTTTTTTTGTTTTTTGTTTTTTTTTGTGAGAAAGATCAGCCCTGAGGTAACATCCGTACTAATCCTCCTCTTTTTTTTGCTGAGGAAGACCGGCTCTGAGCTAACATCCATCGCCAATCCCCCTCCCTTTTCTCCCCAAAGCCCCAGTAGATAGTTGTATGCCATAGTTGCACATCCCTCTAGTTGCTGTATGTGGGACGCGGCCTCAGCATGGCCGGGGAGGCGGTGCGTCGGTGCGCGCCCGGGATCCGAACCCAGGCCGCCAGTAGCGGAGCGCGCGCACTTAACCACTAAGCCACGGGGCCGGCCCTGACAGGGGCTCTCTGGATGATCCTTCCTGTCGTGGACTTTGGATTTAAGGCAAGTCCCCCCGCCCCCCATCTTGTCCCTTCTGCCAGGCCTGATCGCAGAGCAGTTCCTGGAGACCACCGCGGCACAGCTGACCTACCATGGTCTGTGTGAGCTAACGGCTGCTGCCAAGGAGGGTGAACTTAGCGTCTTTTTCCGAAACAACCACTTTAGCACTATGACTAAGTACAAGGTGATGAGGGTTTGGAGGTGGGGGGTTGGAGTGCTGTCATTTCCTCGTGTCTTTTTCTTCTGGGTCAGTGTTTCAGTCAGGATAGGGTTGATTAAGCTGTGGTAACAAGTGACCCCGGAAATCCCTGTGGTTTACCACAACAAAGGTTTATTTCTTACTCATGCTGCATGTCCACTGAAGATTGGCTGCAGTTCTGTCCCACATCATCTTCACTCTGGGATGCAGGCTGACAAAACTGCCTTTATCTGGAATATAGGAGGGAAAAGAGAGAGAGGGACACCATGCACTCGCTCTTAGGGCTTCTGCCTGGAAATGACACGTGCATTTCTGCTAACATCTTACTGGCCAGAACAAGCAATAAGGAATAAGCCTGCCATCAATGGGACAGGAGAGTATAATCCTTTCCCAGGAAGAGGCAGTGGAATTTTTGAACAATACTATAGTCTTCCAAAGTTAGAAGTTGTCTAAGCTCTCTAGGAATTGAGTAGAAGAGGGAAAGGTCTGTGCTTCTCAAAGGATTTATCCTCATAGCCATCAGGTGAGCCCAGAGAACTGTGGGAGGTAAGGTAGGAAGCACGATCTTGTGTGGGACCCCAGCCCTGAGGACTCCATGCTTGACCACCACGATGACCGCCATACTCACACCCAGCTGGCCATACTCTCAGACATCCCTTCCTTCTCCCCACAGCCACACATGCTTATGAAAGATCCACATGCTTACACTGATATGTTCCAGCTAGCACATCAGTTGATTCAAATGGTCTCTGTGCATCTCAGATGATTTTTGGCAGTATCCCCCTGTATCACCTATCCCGCCAGTTTGCTTTGTCCTCCTCTTTGCAGAGTCACTTGTACCTACTGGTCACCGACCAGGGCTTTCTACAAGAGGAGCAAGTGGTGTGGGAGAGCCTGCACAATGTGGATGGAGACAGCTGCTTTTGTGACTCTGACTTTCACCTAAGTCATTCCTTGGGCAAGGGACCTGGAGCAGAAGGTGGGAGTGGCTCCCCAGAAAAGCAGCGGCAGGTAGACCAGGTGTGTGGGGCCTTCGGGAAGGGTGTGGAGAGCGTGTTTACCTCGGAGTGCTTTTTGCCATGGGCAAGGTTGTGTCTTTTATCATCTAGAGGCCATAACATACGACATCCACGCCACTTTACTTTCTGTTGCCTTTGGACCATCTTCGTGCTTGGTGTGTATTCTCTGGCACAACAGATAATAGACTTGGCTGTGTATTTTGCTCTGGAGAAGAAGGAGCTGGAGAATATGCAGGATGAGGAAAAACTGGTTTGGGAATCTAAACCCAGCCTGAATCTGCCCTAGGCTCCAGCCCATCTCACGACTCTTGTTCTTTGCCCGTCTCTCTAGGACTATCTGATCGCCTTGTCCCTACAGCAGCAGCAGCAGCAGCAGCAGCCACGAGGCTCATTGGGTCTTAGTGACTTGGAACTGGCCCAGCAACTTCAGCAAGAGGAGTACCAACAGCAACAAGCGGTCCAGCCTGTACCAGCACGGGCCCCATCACCGCTGGTGAGCCCTTAGCGCTGCTCCTCCAGCTTTCCCACATCTCCAGCATTCCAGCCCTGCCTCCTCTGGTCCAGACACTTGTTATTCTTGCGGTTTTCTCCTCAAGGTTTCCTTCGGGGCCCTTCTCCTGTCTGTCCCTCTCCCTTGGGTCCCTTCCTATCTTTCTCTCCCTGCTGCCCTTCCCTGTCCTGACCCTGCTTCCACCTAGAATCTCTGTCCTTGTGCTCTTCTGCGGTTGATGGATGACCAATTGTTAAACCCCATACAGGGGAGAGGAGCCACCTCTGGACGCCCAGCCGGGGAGCGTAGGCAGAGGCCGAAGCAAGAATCTGACTGCATCCTCCTGTAGCCTGCTCGGTGCCAGGCTGCCCGGCCTCCTCTTTCAGAGGCAATGGCTATTTTGCTTGCTCTCGGCTGCTCGGCCCCTGAGATATGTAGGGTAACTTATTTATGGACTGTTGTAGATCAGAGCAGGCAGTAAATGCCAAGGTCAGGCTGAGTGACGTCCTTGCCTTCATGTGCTGCCACCTTCTTTTCCTCCCAATCATCCAGGGCAACGCTGGGGTTGGTGGGGTGAGGATTTCTGATTCCCAGCTCCCTTGCCCCAGAATAGTCACACTAACATACAGACTCAGGGTCCAGGGTGTGGTCCCTGTCTAGAATGCATCTCCCCTACTTCCCACCCCTGGCTGGCTGGGTCCTCCTGGCTATCCTGCAGGTCTGTCTCTGTTTCAGGGTTTTTTTTTTTTTTTTTTTTTATTTCCTGTGAGGAGATCAGCCCTGTGCTAACATCCGCCAATCCTCCTCTTTTTTTTTTTTTTGCTGAGGAAGACGGCCCTGGGCTAACATCTGTGCCCATCTTCCTCCACTTTATATGGGACGCCGCCACAGCATGGCTTGCCAAGCAGTGCGTCGGTGCGCGCCCGGGATCTGAACCAGCGAACCCCGGGCCGCTGCAGCGGAGCGCGGGCACTTAACCGCTTGCGCCACCGGGCCGGCCCCTCTGTTTCAGGGTTTGATTTGGTTTCTATCTCCATTATTTGTAATGCCTTCCTAGGGGTTTGGAAATAAAACTTCTTTCCCAAGATCTCTTGTTTGCCTTACCCTGCGGCAGTTGGGTTAAGTATTTGACCCAACTGAGGAATGCAAAAGGGGGTAGGGGGAGGGGAGGGTAAAGAGGCTTGGAAGGGGTTGCCTGTCATTTCTAACAGAGCCAGCAGGGGGAACCAAAGCCTGCTTTTTCCTTTTTTGTTTTTGTTTATATGTTTTTGGTAGGTCTTCTTTGGGAAACAGGACTCTAATTTGGGAGGTGGGTTTCCGAGTCCCTGCTCTGGACAGATGAATTTGGAGGTTGTGCTCCCTGCTAACCCAAGACTTCCCAGGCAAGGGAGGGGCAGCTTGATTGTTGCTTCTCAGTTCATACAGATGGTCCTTTGCTACCTCTGACCGTTTCTGACCTCATTCTGGTTCTCAGTGATTTTGCTTGAAATTTCCTGGGGAAGAGAGAATAATGGAGGTGAGAGGAGTCACTGAGGGGAGGGTGGCTGTTGATAACTACAGCACTAGAGCCCAAAACAGGATTCCTGTTGAATATCCAAGTGCACATCAAAGGCACCTCCAACTTCAAGGCCTCCTCTCAGCCCAAGTCCTGCTCCACCCAAACTTCAATCAGGGAACACGACGACTGTGAAGTTTGCCAAAAGAATTCGAGTATCAGTAAGATGTCCTGGCCAGGGTACAGGAGGGATGAGTAGGGCAGAAACACCAAAGAGATCCCATTACCCCACACCCAAGACAGCTAGGGGACCCAGGTGCAGACATCACTTCAAGATGAGGGAAATTAAGGGATTTAAAAGAAACTTCAAGTTCCAGCCTCAACAAGAAGCTGGAGCATGTGGTGCTCAGTGAGGCGTTATCCTATTTGGAGGCCCAGCTGCTCTCCTGCAGGCTCAGCCGGACACGAGAATCTCAGATCCTTGAATGTCATGTGGGGATGGGGGGCAGGGAGGCCTCAAATGTCTTCAGCCCTGCACAGGGCTAGTAAGGCTGACTGGCAGTCCCCTTTCACTGCATCCTGCAGGAAAGAGAGTCAAGTGTTAGAAAGACCCACTGTCACCATGGCCCAGGCACTCTATCCCCTTCCTCATGCTGGTCCAGAACTTGTCTGGTCCTGAAGTCCTAAATTAACCAAAGAATCATGAGTTGTCCAGGGCATGAATATACTCAGCTCTGTGCTGGGAGTGTAAGGTGGAGGAGGGGGTGAAGCTCTGGGGCTCCAGGTTAAGAACTAGCCAAGTCTCACCTGGAGGGAAGAGTAGAGGGACTTCCCAAATTTCTTTTTGAACTCAGCTCGGATGCTTAGGAGGTCAGTCTCACTTCGAGAGATGAGGATACGCATCAGGACTTGGTAATTGGGTTCAGTTTCCTGGTAGAGGAAGAAACAGAATAGGGAGGGGGTGGTAGTAAGATTCTCACAGAGTAGGGATTGGATGGCACGGTGAATTATTCTAGGAGGTGGAGGTGAGGTAAGAGTCCAGGGAAAAGAGAAGTATACATTGTCTAGGGACAAAAATTATCATTGTCCGGCCTCATGGAAGATGATGCAACAGGAAAGATCAGTCTTTGTGGGGGCAGTTGGAGTATTTCTGATTCCTTCCACATGTGTTACCTGGCTCTGCCACTAGCTTAGAGCCTTATTCCTCCAGAGCTTGGTGGTGGGCAGCTCCAATGGCAGGTACTCAAAGAAGGATAGAAAAGACTTGCTACCTGTAAAGACTTCCAGAGTGAAAGCCAGGAAGACTTTTTTTTTTGTGTGTGAGGAGATCAGCCCTGTGCTAACATCCACCAATCTTCCTCTTTTTTTTGCTGAGGAAGACTGACCCTGGGCTAACATCTGTGCCCATCTTCCTCCACTTTATATGGGATGCTGCCACAGCATGGCTTGACAAGCAGTGCGTCGGTGCGGCCGGGATCCGAACCGGCGAACCCCGGGCCGCTGCAGCAGAGCGCATGCACTTAACCTCTTGCGCCACCGGGCCTGCCCCAAGGAAGACTGTTTTTAACTTCCAAGTTAGTGAATGTCTAAGGAGGATACACCCACTCTGTCCCCAGACTGAGTTGATGGGGCTCTGATAGGGAGCAAGGTCGTGTGACTTCTCGTTCTGATCCTGACCCGCGAGGGCCATCTTGCATCCTCATCTTTACACATCAGTTTCTCCTGGTTGGACCCTGGGGATGAGCATCACTGACCTCCTCCTATACCTGCAGCAGGCCTCTTACGTTTTGGTCAAAGAAGGTCATGGAGAGTTCAGTTTAGAAATAATAGAGGTACAATACATCATCTGATCATGAATTATAATGGATTATAATAAGTAATGTTTTCATGAGAGATTTCTAAATAAAAACTTTTGGTTGCAAAAATCCTATTTGTGTCATGAGCTGTGCACTGGTGCTGTTACTATTTCCTTTTTTTTTTTTTTTTTTTGTGAGGGAGATCAGCCCTGAGCTAGCATCCATGCTAATCCTCCTCTTTTTGCTGAGGAAGACCGGCTCTGAGCTAGCATCTATTGCCAATCCTCCTCCTTTTTTTTTTTCCCCCCAAAGCCCCAGTAGATAGTTGTATGTCATAGCTGCACATCCTTCTAGTTGCTGTATGTGGGACGCGGCCTCAGCATGGCAGGAGAAGTGGTGCGTTGGTGCACGCCTGGACCCGAACCTGGGCCGCCAGTAGCGAAGCGCGTGCACTTAACCGCTAAGCCACAGGGCCGGGCCCCTGTCACTATTTCCTAACATCTTCTTTTTCGGAGTTTCCTCATCACTTGGCTTATGAGACCCTTCTCAGAACTGCCTGAAACCCGCACTTATGGCATCCCTACAGATCATAAACTCCCGTGAAGAAGCAAGAGAAAATGACGAAGTAAAAACAGAATGCTGTATTTCCTTTGGACTCATTACCTAATTGGCAGTGGGCCTGATGGCTACGTTATTTTAAATTTCACATGTCATCAGTTTTGTATTGTGATAAAGATTGCCGATTGCTCCCCAGTATCCATCCTTCCCTTCTTCCCACTCTTATTACTCTAAGTTGTTGAATTGGGGCAGGAGTCACTCATTAACTGAATATTCCTATTGATGTACAAGTACCCTTTACACCAAACCTATATTAAACATAATTCTAGTCTTGTTACCTGAGAATGTACTTGGCATCTCATACTGCCCCAGGATTTTTTGTGTGTGTGTGAGGAAGATCAGCCCTGAGCTAACATCCGATGACAAACCTCCTCTTTTTTTGCTGAGGAAGATCGGCCCTGGACTAACATCCGTGCCATCTTCCTCTGCTTTTATATGGACACCACCACAGCATGGCTTGACAAGCGGTACATTGGTGCACGCCTGGGATCCGAACCTGCAAACCCCGGGCCGCCAAAGCAGAGCGTGAGCACTTAACCACTACGCCACTGGGCTGGGCCCTGCCCCAGGATTTTTATAATGAACATTCATTTTATGGTTCAAAGTGGTCCAAATTTGTCCTGGATCAGCCTTCACTGAAGGTCATTTTTCTGAATAAATATTTGTCACAATCTGTATTTAACATATTTCTTATAAAAGAATAGTACAGAAGTATCCTGATTGACTTTTTCCTTTTTTTTTTTTTTTTTTTTGAGGAGATCAGCCCTGTGCTAACATCTGCCAATCCTCCTAATTTTTTGCCGAGGAAGACTGGCCCTGGGCTAACATCCGTGCCCATCTTCCTCCACTTTATATGGGATGCCGCCACAGCATGGCCTGATAAGTGGTGCGTTGGTGTGCGCCCAGGATCCGAACCGGCAAACTCCGGGCCGCTGCAGCGGAGCGCGCGCACTTAACCGCTTGCGCCACTGGGCTGGCCCCGACTTTTTCCGTTTTAAAAAAAGAATTTCAGAAAAATAGGTAAGGCTTCATTGTTTTTTGACTCCTACTTCTAAGATAAATCTAACATCCAAGAGTGTGGATCCTGAGATTTGTTGTTATTGTTAGTGCCATCGAGTTGACTCCTAGTGACTCTGTATACAGTAGAGTGGAAACTGCCTGGTCTTTTTGCACCATACTCTCACCTTCTGGAGCTATATCAGACAATGCTTTGCTGCTATTCAGAGTTTTCATGGCCAATTTTTTCAGAAGTGGGTGGCCAGGACCTTCTTCCTAGTCCGTCTTAGTCTGGAAGCTCCACTGAAACCTGTCCACCATGGGTGACCCTGCTGGTATTTGAAATACCTATGGCATAGCTTTCAGCATCACAACAATGCATAGCCACCAGGGTATGACAACTGACGGATGGTGTGGTTCCCTGATCGAGGAAACGAACCCAGGCTATGGCAGTGAGAGCACTGAATCGTAACCACCATACCACCAGGGCTGGCACTGCTGGGATACAAGTTTGTTTTTATGACAGGAATTTAGACAGATAACCACATCTCTTCAAATGAATCTTAGTGTTGACTCATTATAATAGTACAGGCTTTATTGGGTAAGTACAATAATCTACGGTCAAAATGGAAATCTCTGGATGATAAAACAAGTGCTTATATGTACTGTCTTTTGAATAGCTATCAACAAGGCATGATGGTTTCTCAACCAGTATACTAAAAGCTATTCCATCTGCCAAAATAACTACTTTTATCATTGTCAAAATTTTGATGAGTTTTATTTATAAAACTTTATCTTTATAGGTTTTGGAGGACAGTTGTAACAGGAGATCTAGCTCAATGAGCGGAATGACTGGATTCTGTTGGTGAAATTACTCAAACCAAGGTTGCCAATTTAAGTATGGATAATACGGAAGAAAGTCTGACCACTGTGGAGAAAGGTGGTCCTGGGTGCTAAGAGCACTTATGGTATAGCTTATAGTACAGACTAACACCTATGGTATAGACCAGGAGTTGACACATGGCAGTTAAACGTCCTCGAGGACCATTATGTGTTTTGCAGGGAGATGATGTGACTCAATAGCTGTGTGACCTTGGGCAAAGCACTTAACCTCTCTGTACTTCAGTGTTTTCATCTATGAAACAAGGGTGGGGTGTGGCTGTGAGGATTAATTGAAATGTGGGTAACGTGCTCGGCACAGGCCCCAGCACACCATGAGCCCCTGAGCAATACTGGCTCTCGTCATTATTCTTGGTAGGTTATCGATGTCACCATTCTGGCAACAGCTGAAACTGGACAAGGCACTGTCTTACAGAGCAAATTCATATCTATATTTGGCCAACTGGACATTAATTTAGCTAAAATTTTAGCTTGAGTGCTCTTTAGTGCCTTTAGCGTCAACGAACTTAGCTCTAACCACAGCTCACTGCTCTACTCTTGACAAGGCAGTTTATAAACCTAGGGAAAGAGAGTTGCTATGTATTTATAAAGTAAATATGAGATTGTTACATTGGTGTGAAACGTCCTCTCTTGCCCAGGAGGTATCTCCCCCCATTTTTGGTCCAAAAGGGGGGAAAAAGAGTGTCCTCTCACCTGGAGGGCTCGATGAAGTTTATCAGCAAAGTACAGCGGTGTGTTCCTGATCACCGAGGCTGGAAGCAAAGAGCGGAAGATGGAGAGAGGTAGCTCCCATTCCAGGAGACACCCTTACCCCACATGTCCTGAGCAGACCCCTACCTAGGCTGAGCAGAGCCTGGGCATTCCCATGGAAATGGTTCCGGACAGTCTTCTCCAGCTCATGCCCCATGTACCGCTGGTACTGACGGAACACTTGGGGTGTGCGTGGGAGGTCATTAGAAAGATAAATGGGGGGGGGTGATTATCACAGAGAAAGATAAACCCTGCCCCCCTTCCTCAGCCAAAACTCGTCGTTAGAGCAAGCCGTGGAGATAAGAAGGCTTGTGTGTACCTCGGACAAGGTGTTCAGGATTTCTCTGGGTGAAGATAAGGACCCACGTCCCCTTTGTGCTGGGTCCTTCAGCCCGCTCTAATGCCTGGGAGGGAGGAGTGAACCAGGATCATTGGTTGGGGGCTGGGGAGCCATAGTTAACGATATTGCCAGAATCCATCATGGTGATGATGGAAATGGGATTAAGGGTGGAAAAGGTTATTTTAACCTGTAAATTAGTTGCTTTTATTTATTTATTTATTAAAAAGGTACAGAGCTAACAGAGGAGCTCTGCTCTCACAGCTCGATCCCCCAATTTGGAAAAGTCTTGGCACTCAAGGAATTAAATAATCCCCAAGGGAAGGTCTGAGGAGGGTTGTCCCACCCAAATGCCCATGAGAGGAGAATCTGTCAGTTGACGAGCTCACTTCCTGTGAGTCCAGGAGTCAGAGGCTAAATGAATGAAAGGCTTCAGATGTGACACTATCTGACACCCCATGCCCTCATCATGTCACTGAGAACTTCTTCCCCAAGGCAAGGACAGGTTTGCAGGACAAATGGGTACATGGGCCCCTGGCTCTAAGATATGGTGGAGGAGGGTGTCTTATATGCATGGCTGTGCAAACTCCTCTCAGCCCCCTGCTCACCTGGACATCCTGTTCTGCCAGGTTGTAGTCAATGATTCCACAGTAGCTCTCACGGGCCCCCTAAGAGGAGAAACTCTCTCAGGAGGACTCTTTGAGTCCAACAGAGCAAACTTGGTCTCCCCCAAAGCCCTCTCTTGTTAATTATACCACAGCAACACTCCCTACTCTGTTCCACCCCCTTCCCATGTGGTGTAACTCCCTTCCCTTGCAGGCCAGCCCTCTTCACCTTGGCCAGGGCCAGGAGTAGGTCCCGCAAGATGCCACTGGTTTTAGATTTGATGTCCTCCTCAGCCTCCACCTGGAAATCTAGAGTAGGGTGAGAAGCTCTCTGAATCCTCCTGATTTTTCCCAATGTGGATACCTCCAGAACCTGTCAAACGCCTGACCCACTGTGTCCTGCCAACCCTGCCATCCCCTGCTTGGAGTGGCTTGATGGCTGCTAGTTCCTAGGATGTAAGGAAGGCAGAAGCACCACCATGGCCACCCCAAAAACATCCCTAAGCTGTGAGTAACCCATGTACTGCGGGATCATGCACTGCAGGCTGGCGTCATCTCCAGGCACCAACCTGCTGGGGGCAGGAGGCATCTGTGATTCGAGCAGTGGCCAGGCAGTGAAGAGGGGATTGGGAAACCCATATTATGAGATAAGATGGCTAGGGCCTGGCCCCCTCACTGGAGGCGAGGAAAAGTGATGTGTGAGGTAGGATGTGAAGAAGAGAAAGAGCAGGAGAGGGAGAAAAGGAAGGGAAAAGAGAAAAACAGAAGCAAGAAGCGAGAGAGATAGGAGAGGGATTAAGAAGATAGGCCAAGATTAGGCATCAAAAGGAAATTGGGGAAGCAAGAAAAAGAGGTGGGGTGCCAAGATAAGGATGATAAAAACTAGTTACCAATTAGTGGGTAAGGCAAGTGGCCGCCAAGCAGGGCCAGCAGCCGAGGGCCAGTAGCCAAGGGCCTGAGAGGTGACACCCATGACTTATTGAGCAGGTCCCCACCTTTCCCCTCGGCTCCTGTAAGGTTCCATTCAGCCTGGGATGTGGTGTGATGGCAGAATCAGCAAGGGGCTGGGAAGATGACATGGTACCCGTGGGACTGTCACAATGCTCAACATTGCCATTACCTCAGAATCTTGCCTGGAGCCCCAGACTGAGATGGTTAATCATTGCTTCTCTTTCTTTAATGATCACATCTGGCTCTCTCCCCTGGGGAGACTGAGCACTGGCACAGGAGTGCCGGGGCAGTTGGGTGGGAGACCCCAAGGGAACAGAACTTGGGCAGACAGGGTCCCAGAGGGCTCGCCCATAGGGAGTGCAGGAGAGGAGAGGACTGTCCTGCGGATCCCTTTCCAGCTCTTGGAGCCTCCTCCCTCCACGCTTTTACCGTGTCTGTAGACTGCCAGGCACTCTTGCAGCTGGGGTGGGGTTCGGGTGGCAAGAATTTCCATGGCCACATCCTCAGCAGAACCTGAGTCCTACAAGAAATTGGGAGGCCACTCAGACTGGCCCATGTCATTAGGATGGCAGAGAGCAGATGTTGACCACTTGTCCTTCTGGGTCAATGTGGGATGTCTAAAGGGGGCCTCTACGAAGTCCACCCCTCCAGAGGGGGCAAAGGCAAGGCAGTTAGCCCTCTCCTCCCCTCAGGGGTGTCTTCGCTTCCTAGACACCCAGCAAGCCTCCTCTCCTGTACCTGCAAGGCTCTCCTCAATTCCTGGGCATCGAAACGGGCTGCAGGCTGCAGCAGGGCCACCACAGTCCTCTCGAGGTGGCCGGAGAGCGCTGCCTGCAGGGACTGTAGCAGGTCCTACAATAAATGGTCCCCATGGCAGAGGAACCATGGGAGAGGCTTGAGGGGGCGGGCCCCAGATGTGTGGGGAGGGTTGGGAATATTTGGCTGGTTTTCATCTCAGGCCTGAAGCACCAGTTCCCCCACCCCTACCCTAGTTTAGCCAGTTTGGCCTCAACTGCTATTGCTGTACCCCCAGGCTTCCTGGGAGCTTCTCATCCCAGTCCACTGCTCCTGAGAGGTCAAAGTGGTCTCACCTGTTGGGTGCGCTCCTGGAAGGCTCGAGAGATGAGCTGCCTTTGCTCTCTGCTCCGATTGGTCAGCACATCCACAATGGTGCTGCGGTCCACACCTGAACCGAGATGAGGGCTGGGCTGTAAGCTGGGCAGAGCCCAACCAGGGTCTTTACAGGAGTGGGATCCCCTTACTCCTCGGATTGGAAGCCTCCACAGGAGGAAAGAACAAGATCTAGGAAAGGGCTGGGAGGGACAGGAGCAGGGGCTACATCACCCCCACTTCCTTTTGGTCTCAAAAGAAGATGCAAATAAGATGCCAAAATGGTATGCCAATCTGACCCAAATTTAGGCAAAGGTGGCCTGGTGTGGTAGTTGGGGGGAATGGCTTTATGGGATCACAGACTTGGATTAGAATCCGAGTTCTGCCATTATGAGCTGGGTGACCTTGGGCAAGCCTCTTATCCCCCTGGCCCTAGTTTCCTCATCTGTAAAATGGAAACAATAAGACTTATCCCACAAGGGTGTTGTGAGAATAGGTATGACACCTACCATGGTACTTGACATACAGGAATTAAGGCATTCCACAACCACTTATTGAGCATTGTCAGTTCCTCCTTCCTGGCTCCTTCTTGGTCTACAGACTGGTTTCTAAAAGGAGATCCCCAAGAGCAGAGGGAAAATGGCTCACCTTGGCCTGCAATGGCCCTCAGCAGCTTCTGCACGTCCTTGTCCACACTGAAACTCAAGAAGGTCCTGAGGGTACCCAGGGTCCCCCAAGCTGCAGTCTGTAAGATCACAGCAGGGGGAGTGTGCATCGCAGGTCTGCCCATGCCCCCTGCAGTGCCCCAGCCAGGTCCTTGGCATGGCCTCAGGGCCTGCTCTCCCTTTTCCTATCCCCCACCCTCTCACAGCCCCTGAGTTGATATAGTAAAAATGATTCCTACAGTCCCAGCAGCCCCTACCTTGTTGGCAAGGCCCAGGTGGCTCAGGATCTCCCGGGTCAGTGATGGTCCCGTCTTCCCGCTGGTCACAGACATGGTGTGACTGGTTGCCCCGGGGAGGGAAACAGGAGCCAACTGAGGGGAACTTTCAGCCTTTTTGGCCTTTTTATGAACCCCAGACCCTGGAGCCTGGGCTCCCATTGCCCGTTCCTTTCCCTTGTTGTATAAAAAGAGAACATCAGCCTGCTTGGCAGGTTTGAGAGCCTAAGTGGAGGGGTAAGAGGGGAGCCCCCAGCTTCCCCACCTCTCACCTCTCCTTCAGGAAGCAAGGATTGATCAGGGATGCTGCTAGAACTAGCACCAAACAAACCTCCCTGACTCCAGGGCTGGTCCCAAGGCTCCCCAACCCTTGGTCTGAGGTGGATAACCCTTTCTGAGGTCCATGTTCCTTCCTTCCACTACCTGGCTGGGTGTTCCTGGGGGAGTGTAGGGGAGGAGAGGCAAGGTGGCAGGATCAAGTATGTGGGGTGGGAGACAACAACTAACAGCACCTTCCCCCACCTTCAGCCCCAGCCTGCAAGTAAGCCCCTGTCCCCTGCCCATAATGCTGCCTACCCTCTGTCTGCCTGTCACCCTTGGAGTCTCCAGCTGGGATATCTAGGTCAGCAGCTGCGATCTCTGAGCTGATGTGAGTGTGTATTCTTGTGGGTACATGAGTGCCTGGACGAGGGAGCAGGCACTCATGTTAGAAAAGGAAAACTCCTTTCCTTCTCCCTATGTGATCAACAAGGTCCCCCCTCCCAGCATGAGGGCCCAGGTCCAGGGCTTACCCAGAGGTGCTGGGAGCGAGGTGGGGAGTGTCGTCTCAGCCTGGTGGTGTGTCTGTGTGGGCACCAGCTCCAGTGTGGCCTGGTAGAGGAGAGGAGGGTGTGTGCAGTCCAGGCTGAGCAACCAGTCAGATGACCTTTCCAGCAGACCAGCCCCCGCTGTTGTCTCCGGCACTGGCCCCTCCCAAACATGAGAGAGAACCAGGCTGTACCTGGTTCCACATACAACACCTCCCTACCAAGCATCTCTCCTCCCAGGAACTGGCTTCAGCCCACGCGAGAGAACTCTGCTCACCTCTCAGCAGCTCAGCCCTGGACACAGAGGGCTTTGTGTGCTGCTCTCCCTGTGGGGCTCTCCCTGTGGAGACCAGAGAAGCCCAGTCTTCTCGCCCAGCTTCTGACCCGGCTATGCCTCTGGCTCCCTGGGGGTCAGGTCAGACAGGGTCCAGGCTGATTTTGGGGCTGATAGAGAAAAACCTGTTGAGGCACATACCAGCAGGGCACCCCGGCCTGCACCCCAGAGGGGGTCCCAACCCAGAAACTCCCCTGACTACTGCCTTAGAGCCAGCTAGCCTGGGTAGGGAGGGCAAGGGGACTGTTTATATCTATGGGGAAGGAAGGGCACAGATATTCTGGGGTGGGAGCAGATCAGCAGAGTCAAGAGAGAAAAATGCAAAGGGTGTTCCCTGGGGACAGAAGCACCATGCTCCCAAAAGGCAACAGAGTGATGAGGGAGGCTCCCTGGGTCTCTGTGTCTTAGAGTCCTTCTGTTGCCGTTTGGCTGCCAGGGCTGCTTTAGCTGCAGGTGATGCAAACCCAGCAGCTGGGCTTGAGGCTGTCAGTGCACAGAGCAGCAGGTGAACAGTCCGGGGGAGCCTCAGGGGCCCCTGCGCAGGCAGTTACTCAAACCTCACAGCCAGCTCCCGAGGGTCTGGAGGAGTCTCCTTCCCGCCACCCTAGAGAGGTCAGTGGGGGCTGGGCACAGAAGCTAGAGAGCTGTCTCCACCCCTCTGCCACTCTCCCAGCTGAGGAATGCCCTCACTGGTGTTCCTACGTCCCTGAGGAGGGACCTGCAGCTCTTCCACAGAGCAGACCAGGCCTAAGGAGATGCCGCGAAGGGAGATTTCCATGGTGGCAATCACCGCTCCTTGCTTTTCTCTCCTGTTAGAGTGGGAAACATACGCTCGTGTTTGTTGGAGAACAAAACACGTGCACCGGTTTTTGCTGGAGAACAGAGCTGGGTTCATTCCCCAGCTCTGCCACTTGTTATGTTCTCTAACCTTAGCTAATCATTGCAGGTCTCTGTTTCTTTTTTTTTTTTTTTTATTTTTTTTTTTTTTTTTTTTTTAATTTTTATTTATTTATTTTTCCCCCCAAAGCCCCAGTAGATAGTTGTATGTCATAGCTGCACATCCTCCTAGTTGCTGTAAGTGGGATGCGGCCTCAGCATGGCCAGAGAAGCGGTGCGTCGGTGTGCGCCCAGGATCCGAACCCAGGCCGCCAGCAGTGGAGCACACGTACTTAACCGCTAAGCCACGGGGCCGGCCCAGGTCTCTGTTTCTTTACCTGAAAAAATGGGAATATAGGGAGAGTCTGAGGGGGAATGCACCCTGGGGTATCTAAAGATAGGTTTCCTGGAGGATTAAATGAGGTAATATGTGTGATGGCATTTGGCAGAGAAAAGTGCCTTGAAAATTAGGGTAGCCAGATTTAGTAAATAAAAATACGGGACACCCCATTAAATTAGAATTTCAGAAAAATAACAAATAATTTGTTGATATTAACTATAACCCAAATATTTCATGGGATATACTTATGTTAACAAATTATTTGTTGTTTATCTGAAATTGTAATTTAACTGAGCGTCCTGTATTTTATTTGGCAACCTGAAAAATGGCACTCACTTTCAGCCTGGTGGTTAAAAGCAAAAGTTCTGGAGCCAGAGTTTTTAGACTCAGAGTTCTGGTCTGCTGTGTGACCTTGGCAACTACCTTAACCTTTGTGTGCTCAGTTTCCTCATCATCAAAATGGAAATAATAATAATGTTTATATTATAGGCTATCATGAGAATTAAATAAATTAATACACGTAAAAGCACTTTATTTATTTATTTATTTATTTATTTATTTTTGTGAGGAAGATCAGCCCTGGGCCCACATCCGTGCCCATCTTCCTCCACTTTATATGGGATGCCGCCACAGCATGGCCTGACAAGAGGTGTGTCAGTGTGCGACCCGGATCCGAACCCCGGCTGCCAGCAGCGGAGTGTGTGCACTTCACCACTACACCACGGGGCCGGCCCCTAAAAGCGCTTTAGAAGAGTGCTGGGCACAGAGTTGTAAGTACGCATGTCAAAATATTAACTAATATATAATAATAAATGTTGTTATATTGTTATTTTGTACCGACAACTGTTATTACTAACTTTTCTTTTCTCTTTAAATCCAATCTTGGCTCTCTTCTGCAACTTCTTTCTTGCCAATCCCCAATCTGACCACAAGAAGGCATCAGCAGCCACTAAGACTCTTGAGTCCCCTAGTGGCTACTGGCTGTCTCCGAGGCTCCGGTTCCACAGACAGCTATCAAGGGGCCCTCTTGTCCACTTGGGAAGTGCAGCCTGCTGAGGACATGAGGTTCCTAAGTGGACTTGGTGCGCAGACAGGGTCAGGGTAAGAGCCTCAGGTAGACATTTACTCATGGGACCCCACTGAGACAGACCTCAGGACACATGCAGGAGACTTTCTGGGCTGGGTTACAGCTCTACAGTGGCTCCACGGCCAAGGTCCCTTTCTGTACCCTTCAGAGTCTCTTCTGGGCAAACGTTTCAAGTAGGCTTATGGGGAAATGAAAGGAGAGAGAGGGCTCTTGTTTCCCCAGTCCAAACCTCTGCAAGGGACTCCTGGCTGACCTGCAAGGCTGAACTCTGAATTTGGAGGAGGCAGGCAGAACCCCAGTCCTATGACAGAAGCATAGTCCTAGTTGCCCAGGAGTGTGAGTAGTGTGTGTCATGCATTTACAATCACTCCACTGAAACTCGGTGGAATCTCACTTCTTTTGTTCCTTGGTTTTGTTTTGTTCAACTCCAGGGCCAGATTGAGGTTGTTTTCACATTTATTAATCACCTTCCATTATGTCCTAAATTTCAGAATTTCAGAGTTAGAGGAGATCTTAGAGATGACCTGGTCTGCCACCGTCTCATTACTGACTCAAGGAGGTCGTGGTGTTGGAACCAGAATTCAGGACTCCTAACTCCTTCTCAGTGTTTTCTTTATCACTCAGATCAAGGCATGGTTGATTTAGGGTCCCTCTTAGTGGAATACAGGGGACAACCAGTAATATATAGAGCCTCAGCTGTTGCTCATGAACCCTTCAATTCTTAACAATATCTTGCTTTTTTGCAAATACTTTGCATTGCATGATTTCAGAATACATAGAATTTCCTCCTGGCTATTTTTCTTCTTGTTAGGAAACTTTTTCTCCCCAGAACTCTTGGCACCTGAATCCCTCTGCTCATGTACTAGCCAAGCTCTACTCCTTTACCCAAATAGGCTTCTGTGTTGCACAAGCCAGCCTGACCTGGGAAGACACACTTTCCACAACTGGGGTCCATGTCTTTGCCTGTCCCAGAAGCCTATTCAGATATCTACATCCCAGGCTGAAGGCCTGGTGGTGTCCTCTGCCTCCAGACACCTCAGCAGCCCATACAGAGGAAGTGAGTCATGGCAGGGCAGACAGCTTGGGGCACTGTGGGCGTGGCCATGCCAGCCCGGTGCAGTGGGGGATGGGTCAGAAGGGCGGTGATCAAAATCCACTGGTCCAGCCAAGGCAGTGTGTGTGTGTCTGTTTGAGTGTGTCCTAAGTATGTTGACAGAACTGGTAGCATCATTCTAATACTGCCTGAGGCCCAGTTTTCCCTTCTCTAGCCACCTTCTTCTTTGTCTCCTGGAGGAGGGGTACACCCTCTTATCTTTATTTTTTCTTATTTTGTATTTTTTTTGAGGAAGATTGGCCCTGAGCTAACATCTGTTGCCAATCTTCCTCATGTTCTTTTTTATCCCCAAAGCCCCAGCACATAGTTGTGTATCATAGTTGTAGAGTTGTAGCTTTTCTATATGGGAGCCGCCTCAGCATGGTTTGATGAGCCGTGAGTAGGTCCACGCCCAGGATCCAGAATGGGTGAACCCCGGGCCACCAAAGCAGAATGCGCAAACTTAACTGCTACGCCACCCACCGGCTGGCCCCTCACCCTCTTATCTTTATTTCTCAGGTCTTGGCAATCCAACTTCTGCCCCAAAACTTCCCC